GCTTGTTGGCTCAGGATGTTGTTGATATGTTTGTACTCTAGCTGGGCTGCAAGTTGATTTTCACTCCTCAACTCCCTCAGCCTTGCACATGAAGTCCTACAGTATAAATCCATAACACAACAGATACGTCAACTCTCACTCTCTAGAGCACTCAATTCACTCCAGATAATTTATCTCCCCCAGCTAATTAGTCGATTGAAGTTGCTTGCTTTTGACTGAACCAGATCTACTACTAAAACGAAACTCTCAGCTGTTTCTCACATGAATCCGAACGCCCCGACTCGCTTCGCACCCAGCAGGCTAGAGAACCGCTCCGACCTCGAGTATGGACGACGACGACCTCTATTACGACGAGTTCGTCGATGAAATTGCAGCTGACGAATTCCTTGCACTTGTGGATGATGCTGATGCAGCAATACAACATCAAGCAACCAGCCTCTTACCCCAACAATCGAGCATTCCTCCACAGCATGCGCAACAACGAGAGCACAACAACGCTGCACTTGGAGATACCCATGGCGAGAAACATGTACTGCAGCCGCCATCCCGGCTCCTCCGAAACCCGATGAGCTTTGGTGACACGGATATCCTGAGTTTCGATGCAGGAGTTCTGGATGATGGCGCTGGACCGTCCCCAGTAAATGAACAGCAACAATCTGATCTCCAAGGGGGAGGGCATGCGGATCGCACTGTTCTTTCTAAGAGGAGGGAACGGCAATCCCGCCCCTTTAACGGCCCAGAAGCAATTGCACCGCCCAAAGAACACGTCAAAGTCCAGGGGAAAGGCCTGCAGACTCGCCAGGAGCCAAGGGTGTCCGAAGATGCGGCATTGGCGAGCAAAATGGAGTTGGTGAGCTATGAGAGCAGGCGTAATACCAACGAAGACACTCAGTCGATGGAGGTTGAAGACATGATGGACCGAATTGAACAGGTGCGTCAGTCACCATCGCTACGTTTTTAACTTCAGTTCTGACGATTCTGACAGCTCGCGAGAGAACGCGAACGGCTCCTTCAAGAGTTGAACTCCGCGAAGACTGACGCCGAAACTCGTGCGGGGGAGATTGCTATCATCCGAGCAAATCAGGCAAAGCTGGAGCAGAATCATAACCGCCAATTGAGTGCGTTACGGAGTGCCCTGGAAGAAGAACTGCAAAAGCACCAGGCCGAGATTGACGCTGCTGTAATGGAGAGCAAGCGCCTAGCAACCGAAAACCAGTTTCTTAAGCAGGATCTGAGGGAAGAGACATTTAGACTGAACGAGATGCAACAAAATTGGAAAGCCAAAGCCAGGACTGAAGATGCGGCGCCGACGACGCCCAGCAAACCAAGGTCCTTTCCACTACGAGATGGGTTTGACGATGATGAGATAATGGCATCCCCAAGCAAGTCGACCGGGAGAAGATCGAAACGAGGAACGCCTTCGGCGCCAGGCAAGCGGAAACGGGCTGTAACGGACGATTCTCCGGTCGTCCCTGTCCTTCAACTGAGCCAATCGTTTGAATCAAACCTTTTAGACGCAGTTGAGCCCCCAGATCCCATAGACATCGAGATGCGATCAGAAATCCCACATAAAGAAGACCGCAATGTGCAATTTATCCGAAAGATTCTTAATCATAAGTCTTACCCACGAAAAGTCTGTGACTTAGAAGTCTTTGCTGGCATCTCGTTTCCCTCGGAGCCCAAGAAGATGCTCTCTTCATATATCTTAGAAGCAACGACAACCAGACCGTCAGAAAACTTCGCATTGGAATACGCAAAAGTTGTGATTTCATTGTGGTCTCGTGCATTGAAAGAAGCGTTTTATCAACCGATTTCCATGTTCATGGCAATTATCAAGTTTATTCTCAACTTGGACTCTACAATGATTGCTCCCCTTCTGGTCGCTGACCTGGTGCCAGTATTGCAAACGTCTGGCTACGTCAATGGGATTCCGAGATTCACTAATTCCCCCGTATCACATCTAAGCTACGGACAGGTCAAGCAGACCCCCAAAGCGGCTATCAATCACCAGGTAAATAGCACTGAAGTCCTCGAGCTTCTCTATCTGACTGGCAGCGGATGTTGTCATGACGACGACGCCCTCCGCCAATTCTGGCAAGTAGTCCGCTATGATTTCATCCTCATGATGCTAAATCCCTATCAACCCGTCAAAGATATCATTATCGTTCTCAACCTTCTCTCCTGCAGCATCTTCCCCACCACCTTTGGCCCCATCCTAAACACCGAAGCCGAGCAAATCGCAAATGAGAACTACATCATCGACCGCGTTGCCAACCTTCTCCACGAGCAGCCCTCCGTCGACGAGGGCGAAAAGCCCTATACAATATGGGAGATTACCACCCTGCGCAAGGAAGCCATGTCGTTCCTCCTCGAAATCGCATTCTCCTATCCCTCTCCGAACCCCGAACGCAACAACGCCGGCTATCTGCTGGCGACGCATCCGAGCGCGTTGGCACGGGTGTTCCGAGCCATGCACGACGAGCTCGATGCGCTCTACTCCCACCCGCCAGAACGCGACCTGCACGTCGCGCTTGTCAACGGGCTGACCCGTCTCGCGTACGGGATCATCACCGCGTTTCCGGACATTGTTGATCTCCCGGCCAAGTTACGCGCGGTGCCCGGCGCGGTGCAGAAGCATTTAGTGGTGTTGACAAGGTTGGTGTTTAGTGAGGGGCTGTTGTTGGAGAGCGGGATTACGGAAGACACGGCAGAGATGGCGCATGAGATGCTGGAGGATGCGGTGAATCCACAGGAGGCGGAAGCGTTGTTGGAGGCGTTTAGGTCGTCAAAGGGCGAGGGGTGAATCGTCGCTTGAGCTATTTTCTCGAACTCTTTCTTAATCAGAGATCTGTGGGTGATTTGCTTGGTCGTGGATAATGACTGACGATAATGATGAGGTATGAAGTACATAACTATGTGAATTAGTGTATAATGACTTTGGATGGAAATATTTTTGCTGGTCTTCGAAACGATAGATCTGAAACGGTCTGTTCAGCAAGAGCCCAAAAGCACTATATAAAAACGTAATCTAGATACAGGACAGAATAGCTGATTGAATCACGATATAATACTGCATGTCGAAAAGCGAGTCGCTGACTTTCCCAGTTTCCTAGATACATATCAGTCCCCCCTCTTCCTAGCTCTACATCCAGGATTGTGCGAAGATTAAACACCATGCACTCAAGTCCCTAGATGTTCCATTCCAATCCTCAAATAGATGTATCCGAAGCCTGACCAGGGTTAAGCAAAGGATTGCTAAAATCATTGTCGCTGGAATTATTTAGATCGGTTTCTGTGCCTGAAGCTATCTAGCACAGTGAAACTGTCAGTTTGTAGAGATATAGACTACTGTATTCCTCCTCTTCGAAGCTGGACGATCTATGAAAAGGGTAGGCAATAATCCACAGTGAATTTATCTTTGCCGGTCGAGAATCTCTGTCTGTTTATCTATGATCTTCGTCCTTTTTTTTTTTTTCAAGTTTTCCACGTAGGGAGAATTGTGAGTGAAACTCAGCACTGGTACTAAGGACATATACTGCTCGAAATAGCATGGTTTGCTCCCAAAACACAGAATAGGAGTATCGTGTTTTCTCCCAGGGCATCGCCTGTCATCACAGACAGTCTCAGACTGGGCACAAAGAGATGTTTCAACTTCAGCAGCAGAAGAAGAGCTTGTTGTAGAAAAGTTCACATCGACTCACTGTCCCCCTATTGAAAAACAGCACACAAGGCCATGATGATCGCTCCACCGCAGCGGCATGTCGCGGCCGTACTTCTGCTCTTGCTCTGGTACTGCGTCCGCGGGCATGATGCCCGGTGGCATTACTTGTATCTCGGAGGCTTTCAGCCCAACCATGGCCACCTTATCCAGCCGGTTGGGTGGGAATGGCGCCTTGCCGTCAACACCCCACGTAAAACCCGGATCATCGGGATGCAGTTCGCACCACGCGTCTACAAGGCGGTTTGCGCTGACGAGCATCTCGTCTTCTGGAAGAACAGGGTTGAAGTCGCCGGCCACCAGGCCGCGACCGGCGGCGCGAAGGTACGCGGCAATGATGGACAGCTGGCGCGGGCGAAAAGATGGCTGGAGTGCGAGGGAGTCCAAGTGCACGTTCACGAGGCGGATCCGCGTCTCTTGCTGTGGTGGCGATTCAGAAGAGACAGCGTCGGCCGGGGACGGTGCTGCATCAGCTGATGCAGAGGACAGGAAAAGGTCGCAGCAAAGCGCATCCCGTTCGAAACGACTGGGAAACCTGACTCGCCATATAGGTCCGAGGGCATCGCCGAAGCGCGATTTGGACAGGAGAGTCATGCTGGCGAAGGCCTGCTGGCCCCAGCTGGTGGTGTCTGCTTCGCTCGAGTACCAGTGGTCACGAAGCCACGGTGTTGATAACAAAGCCAACAGAGCCGGGCGCGATACTTCTTGAAGGAAGATAATGTCAACGGCGGGAACTAGGTTCTGGATATGTGAAATGATGGCAGCGATACGATCCCTCGGTGCCGGAGAGAAGGCTTCCACATTCCATGTAACGAGAACGAAATTTGCGTCTTGAGGCGGACATGGTACGGTGCTGCCAGAAATGAGTGCACGATCGAGAGGAGTCCATTGCTTGGACGACGAGTCGAATTGATGCCACAGCTGAAAAATGGGCGCCAGCTTTTCCTCGAGCGCTGGCAAGGGAGGTGTTCCTGTTCGTCCCGCTTGAGACCCAGTGCTCTGCAGCCATCCACGCATTTTCGTTGGGAGGCGGAAACGGGCGCTCATAGTTGCAAATCTTGTGAAGGTGCTGTGGGTGTAGGTTCATTAATGTCAAGATAACAGGTCATCGTGAGAGATGGTATTGAAATCGACGACCTTCCAGCTGCTGAACAACAGCTAGAAGGACTTCAGCGCTTACATCTGTACGGCGCTTGCATGATGAAGTGATACAGACTGTGATTGATCACCGAGTGACGTTTGGAACAAGGGGGAAAAAGAAAAGAAAAAGAAATATTGTTACTGACAAGAGGGAGGTTCGAACTCCCGCGGCTTTCGCCACCAGAGCTTAAATCTGGCACCTTAACCACTCGGTCATCTTGCCATTTGTATTTACATTTTATTCCTATCTAAATAATTGAAGTAAAAAGATAAACCAGTATTCAAGTCTTTCTAATACTCCGTACATGAATTAGTAACTACTACAGAGTACTGCAAAGAATTATCTGTTTCTTACTTTGACTGTCTAGAGAAGATTAAAAAGGGTGCCCTGCAAAAAAAAAAAAAAAAACAATAAATGACAAGAGGGAGATTCGAACTCCCGCGGGTTGCCCCACCAGAAAGCGCTACCTCCTTTTGAAGGAGGTAAGGTCATGTGACGCTTGAGTCTGGCACCTTAACCGCTCGGTCATCTTGCCTGAATTTAAAAAAATTTTTCCATTAAAACTCCATAACCCAAATCTTAGTTGTAAAGCCATCGACGTTCCTCAAGGCTCTCCTCGCATTTCCATATCCATACTCTATGAAGAATCACGCCCAAAGATAGGTTCGCCGGCACTCTCAAGCTCGCAAGTACTGTTTGCTGAAAGTGTCGCCTTAAAGCTTTACCTGAGACGCAGTGTCCATTATCCGGGTTACGACAGATAGGATCGAGACATCCGATCGCCCATGCCCGAAGCGTTTTGGGCTCAATGATATGATTTTATAGGCATACATTTCGTGTGACGCAGTGGCTAGGCTACTCAGACAAAAGTTATTGACATCAGGACTGATTGAACATTGCTAGTTGTTCAAGCTCATGTGCAAATCAGGCTCGTATCAGCAGTCCATTTTGAATGGAGTGAATGCCCATCGCGCTATCCATATCTGTCATCCGTCACTCATAATTCTTGTTAATCAGAACATTTTTTGATAGCATGTAAGTAATGAGGTATGGAGTACTCCGTACATACTCCCAAAAATGTGATTGGTTTCTTCAGGTTGCCGTTTGGGAACATAACTAGTGGACAGCTCCATATGTCTAGCTACTATCTCTCAGTCTGTGATAAAGGACATTTAGCACAGTATTGTCTTTCTAAACTGAATGTGGTAACTAGCCTCAGCTAGATACCTACCTACACAGTGTCAAGTTGTACATACACAGGTACATACATGGAGGTTTCTGAGCTTGCTCACGAAGAGTATGTAGCATACATCATAATGCGAGAGTAAATCCAGCTGGGTGTAGCTAAAAGGCTGGATATAGGTAGCTAAGCAAGGTGTAGTATATTAGAAGGGCTCTTGTCTTTCTCAATCTCTTAATTTGCGTCATTCGAGTCCGATTTCGTTAAAACGCTAGATGCGAGCCCTCTTCTATCCTCCCTGAATGCCCGGCCAACAGGTTGAATACAGTGATCTATCCATGGTGGTATATTTCATCCGTCAGATATTTGGATCCACGAACCAAAAGCATCTTTAGAGCGCGGTGGTCTGCATTTCTGCGACTGTGGGGGCGGAATAATAAATCTGAAGCCCACCAGCCTAAATATCAACTCGAAGTCGCGTCGAGGACAAATATTCCGAGAATGTGGTATCCCAGTAGCGACGTTGCTTTGTTTCGTTGAGGAGCAACCTGCTCTCTGATTATTCTTCCACCTCATACTCTTCCATCTCCACCTTGAAATACTGCTCCACAGTCGATCTCTCTGCTTTCGCCTGCTCCGGGTTCAGCATAAACCGTATCGTAGTCTCTCTACCTCTCTCGTTTGCTCGCTGAGCAGGATCGTGAGCGGCAGTTGGAGCGAGCGGGTTGATGGGCGGCGTCTCTTTTGCTGCTGGTCCAGCGACATTCCTATTATTTTTCTCCCTATCTCTTTTAGATCCATTAGGCGCTCGGACACCGTTTGTGTCGGGTTTGCGTTTGTTGAAGTATGCGTAGCGGGGCAGTTTCTTGGAATCGGCCTCTTGATTTAGCGGAATACGGATGTTGAGTAGAGTGTCAATGGAGAAATCGGGTCCGACAGAGGTTGAGTTGCGGTGATGGGTGTAGAGCTCGAGCACATCGAGTATTGTCTCTGGACCAGAAGACGTAAGTTTCCATCCATTGCCACGGACTGGCTGCGTGCGGGTGAGGAAGTCTTACCCATTACCTCTGCCCGCGATGTCTGCCATAGCTGGTACTCCGACTCCGATTCAATCTCTTCCAATCGATCGTCTAGTAATCGTCCTGCAAGCTCTAAACAAGCAAAAGCCATAGTTGTTGAGGTTTGCTTTAAGGGAGCAAAGGTGCGATATAAATCGAGACTTATGGTATAGGCGACTCTAGCCGTTTTAGAATCTTTCTTTAAACCATAGCGCTTGATCAATTTCAAGAGAATCTTCTGTGGGTGGCGGTTCCGAAAGTCGAACCCAGATGATTCAAGCATTAACCTTTCCAGGCCGATGATGCTGCGAGAATGGGATTCAAAGATCTAGATAGATTCGTTAGTACTGCGAATCGCAAGGAAAAAAGGAGTGAACAGTGTCAAACGTACAGGATCGTCAGCAGATAACTGTTCACCTCGCGACAGCTTTAGATTATACGCAGTGCAAAGAATATCTCGCGATTTCTTGAGAGTATCCTCAATCTTACAAGCGGTAAAAAGGGCAGCCCCCGCCGCGTCCTTGAAGCAGAGGTCAGTCAGCGATACACATTCCCATCAAGAAGAGCATAACATACGATATGATTATACTCGTTGTCGGAATGCACCAAGCGGAACTTGTGATAATAAATTGCCGCCGTATTGAACGTCCTCACTGGCCTGTATCACACCGATCAGCAAGCCTCCTCAAAATCGTATGAGCAACGAGAAGGACACAAATGATCCGCCATACAAATGAAGTGCCTTTCGTACATTGTCGATCCAGGTTATGCCCTGGAGTCGAATACTGTCCTCTCGCTGTGGATTCACCCCCGTAGCTGCAAAGCATTCTTGCACAGTCTTTTCAAAGACATACGGATTTGCTACCTGAATGAACGATGGGTGAGGTCCCACCGGAGGGGGAGGAGGTGGTGGACGCGCATGATTCTGCTCGCTGGAACGAGCATTTTCACTCCTTGCTGGAGTCATTGGTGGGTTCTGGGCCGGAAGATTGCTTGATCGTGGGCATATTGATATTGAGGGAACAGTTTGTGATCAACTCATCCTTCAAGCTTCAACCGGAGAAAGAGATTATCCAGCAATGGTTCTCAACGACTCTCCCTGAATTTTGAAAACTCGAACAGACGCGTATGGAGGAATCTCTTCTCAAAACACTCTCTACTTCATACTGAATTTGCAAAGTAAATGTGGATTGTTGAGCACAGTTGAATATCTCAAATTTGAAGACTCGTCTAGACTACTAACATTCTTATGACTTGCAAAGACAGTGAGTAAGCACCAGGGATGCATCGAACAAGAATATCACCACATATCACATTCTTGAGTATTTGCTACATTTCTGGTGATCTTGCTTTACCTCCCTCTATTATGCTGTGTATGCGCCAAATATAATCATTCCCTAGCCAAAGTCACTCCCAATGCCCCGTAAAAGATCCTGTGTCCATCTGTCCAACCAAGTGTCAAGCTGTCAATGACCGTGAGCTCTTCTTCCAAAGGAAGCTTCCTCTCATTAGCCTATTTCTCTGTTTTCTTTTTGATATTTTCACTGTGACGACCCCCGCCGCGTTTATGATTCTTCAGTGCTCCAGCATCACAAAAGGTCTTGTTGCAAGGCTCGCAATAGTTATGTTTCTCCCGTCGCTGATGATCCCGGAGATTATCTGCATTCCCTGCTGAGAATTTACATTTCGGGGCTGTGCACTTGTATTTCAGAGCTGGAGTTGCAACTTTGGCAAAAGCAGCAGCAACGGTATCAACTTCGCCGAGGCGAGATTTATCATGCAAAGCCGTCGTATGTCGCGTGTGGCTCATCGTGTCCTGGAAGTAGCTATTGCACGGCCTACAATAGCAGTGGTTGTTTAATTTTTGGTGCGCAAGAAGATCACCTAGACTGATATAACTCATGGGGCAAGCTGCGCATTTGAAATTGTGGACTTGCTCATTGTGTTTCTGGAGAACCGCCCGGTCAATGAAGAAGGCAAAGCACCAGTGACAGTAATTATGATCGTTCGCCATCTGATGCTGATGAAGCGCAAGAATGTTGTTGAAACTGGTCCTACACTCAAAGCAGATGATCCCGCTTGACTCAACCTTCAATGGGCGTTGAGCTTCTGCGATTCGAGGAAGCGCCTGAAGCTGTTGATTAGGTGTTCGGACCGGCTCAGAAGACTCTGGTGTCACTTTAGTCGAACAGGGAGATCCGGTCGATGTCGCAGTGACGGCCACTCTCCTTTTCGGTCGGACCTGTTGGTTGTGATTAGGCTTGTTCTCGACAGGAGGTGCTTTGCGCATCGTTCGTTCCTTGACTGCCTCTTGGAAACGGTCTATGGCTTTGCTGAGAGTGCTTTCCTTTTCAGACGGCGTGCTCAGTTCCAACAAGTCCCCTAGTGGTGGCCCGGGAAGCGACAGCCGAAAGCCCTTGCTCGTTTCTCCGCTCAAAGCCAGAGCCCATCTATCATCGAACGGATCTTCAAGCGCGATCTTCGTTTCGACTTGTGGTCTCTTGGCGTGGTTGCTCACTGGGGTTCCCGGCACATTTGCAGTTGGATTTTTTGATTTTCGCATTTGCATGTACTTGTCCAGGGAAAGATATCGGACGCCCTGTTTCTTATCTTCACGTACAGCAGAGTCAACAATTGGTTGCTCTTTCTCGACGTTCATTTTGTCTTTTGCGTGACTGCTCAACAAATCTTCATCAATAGAATCCAGGCACGTAGGTCAGGGACATCTTACCGAGAATGTGCAACTACTTTGTGGAGCTCAAACTCGCACTGGATTTCGAAAACCAAAGCACAGCCAGGGCATTGTCGTTGTGGTCCGGGTTTAATATGATCAAAATAAGTCTGCTGGCTATCGAGGACTAGGTTGCATGACATGCACTGCCTCATGCCTGCGATCATTTCAGAGCCCATTGAGCCTGAAATTTGATTAGTGACGACCTGACAATGATTGTGCTTTTTATGCCCACTGTGGAGAATGCTGAAATCGGCAGACAATGGATTTCTTTGGGGTTTGTTTGCACTGGAAGGAGAAATCTGCATCATGGAAGGTAACGATTGCTTGTTCCACACTGACCTTCAATACTGTCAAAGCTTTTGTACTGTGCTGATGTATTCCGATTCCAGAAGCGGCGAAGCAGTGCTATCAGCCAAGTGATGAGCATGGTGGTGCTTCTTTTGAGCTGGGCAAGGTCCTCTATCAGAGTGAATGCTGACCTTATTTGAGAGAGACATTGAAGCTTCTAAATAGCTTTGAATGCTTTGCTACAGTGAATTTAACAGGAACTTTACGCGCTAATG